TGTAAAGACAGGGTCTCCCTATCTTGCCCAGGCTGCTCCCGAACCCCTGGACTCAAGGAACCCTCCCCGCTTGGCCTCCCAAAGTGCTGGGATTACAGGCATGAGCCACTGCACCCGGCAGACTATACTCTGGAGAGATTTGATTGACTATCTTTTCCCTATCTACTCCGTCCCTGTTCTTAAGCGCTTCGCTCCTCCTCCCTCGACTGTCTCTCTCATGGGAGAAGACAAATAGCCCCCTGTCTCCTTGGACAGGACACCCTGATCCAGTGCATCTGATTGGCTTCCTCCCAACTCAAACAAACAGCCTCCGGCAGAGGGAGGAGTAGATATAAATGGCTCCACAGCCTGGGGGCCCCTGCGTCGATTCCCAGGCTCATTCTTTACTGCTCCTTTCTCCACAAATCACTTCTGAACTGTGGCTTGGAAATCTCTGGTATGTAAATCCATAAAAGGCTGGAGGGGAGGAAAGCCTAGAACTATTTGATAGATGCAAAAACAACCCATTAAGGACAGAATGAGAAAGGAACAGACAGGAATACATATAATGAATAGCTAAACTGGGTTTAGTTTACTCAAGATCACTTTCATTCTCTGCTTCCCCCCAGACGCTAAAACAGGACTGGAGTGAGATGATTGAGACAGTCCTGTACCTACCGACCAGGGTGTGGCGCAGTGATTCCAGACAAGCACAGAGTCCCCACATCTCCTCCTCTCTCTCTTTTTTTTTTTTTAATAATTTTTTTTTCTTTTTTTTCAGGCCTGTACTGGCTGACCGACTTCTCCTTCTCTAACACCCACACTCAGCTTCTTCCCTCCAAGCGGATTCAGCTGGCCGGTTTTCCTGACCCCAGGCGATGGCAAGTGTGGTCCCAGTTTATGACTAGGATCGTTGTGTGAATGGCTGAAAGGGTTGGCAAGACGACGACGCTTTAGGGAGGATTTTAAAAGGCATAGCTGTCTCTGGTCTTTCTCTTTCTTACATTTTTTAAATAAAACTTTTTTTTAAGAGACAGGATCTCTAAAAAATTTTTAAAGATATGTGATCTGCCTCTGTAGCCCAAAACTGCAGTACAGTGGCATGATCATTGCTCACTGCAGCCTCAAACATTCAAGTGATTCTCCTGCCTCGCCCTCCTGATTAGCTGTGACTACAGGCAGGCACCCCATGCCTGGCTCTCCCGCATTATTCTAGGGCCAAAAGGCAGGAACATTGAACTCAGCCTGGTGCTTTATTTGCGCTCTCACCTAGATTCTACTCCTGGCCACATACAGAGGCCTGGGGTATGCGAGGCACACTACCCAGAGCATGCGAGGTAGACTCTGCAATACAAACCTCTACAGCGACTGGGCATAGGAGAGCTTCTATCAGAGGACAGGACGCTCGGGGTCTCCTTACAGTTCTACCACCGTGTCACCTTAGGTGAGGGCTTCGCCACTGGGCCTGTTTCTTCATCTGCACAATGGAAGCTGAATTCCATTTACATTATTTTCTGAAGGGCCTCAGTGTGCAGAGACACAGAAGCAAATGACCTTATGAAGCTCCTGACTGTATGAAGTTCTTGGTCAAACGAATAGTACCTCTTCTGCCCATCTCAGAGGTAGATGAGGGTAAGATAAAATAATGGAAAGCACAAAGAACAGTAAAAGTCAAGAAACTGTTTGCAAAGTTACCAAGACATAAAATTAGATTTTACTTATTAATAATCATGTCACAGCCAGGCACGGTGGCTCACACCTGTAATCCCAGCACTTTGGGAGGCTGAGACGGGCGGATCCCTAGGTCAAGAGTGTGCGACCCCGGCTGTGGGACCCCGACCCACGGAGGCAGGCGCTCAATAGACTCGAGGCAGGACGCATGGTGACCGGTACCGACTTTATTGGGATCTCCGGGCGACTCAAGCGGGAAGGGAAGAATCGCGCGAGCTTTCTTTGTTCGGTTGACTTTATAGGGACAGAGGGCCTGGGGCGGTAGGAGAGCTGACCTGGCAGGTAGTAATTGGCTAGGTTGGTTGCTGGGCAGGAAGCCTGCCCGGCGGGAGCTTGTGGGACGGGAGGTTACGGGAGAGCTGGTGGGGCGGATGGTGATTGGTTCAGTGGGCCGCTGGGCGGGAAGGTTGCTGGTCTTGGGTCCGGCCAGGATAGAGTGAGATAAGGGACCCTCCCTGTGGGGGAGGAAGGGCCTTCTTTATCGGGAATTAGGCCCTTTCCACATGGCTGGGGAACGGGGCCAAAAGTCCTCTACCAAAGAGATCAAGACCATCCTGGCCAACATGGTGAAACCCCATCTCTACTAAAAAAATACAAAAATTAGCTGGGCGTGGTGGCACGTGCCTGTAGTCCCAGCTACTCGGGAGGCTGAGGCAGGACAATTGCTTGAACCCGGGAGGCGGAGGTTGCAGTGAGCCGAGATCACGCCACTGCACTCCAGCCGGACGCCTGGTGACAGAGCGAGACTCTGTCTCAAAAAAAAAAAAATAATAATAATAATCATGTCACTTGTCACTCTGTTTATAACTGTCAGTCCACTGATGATATTCAAGTAGACCATTTAAACTGTGTTTTTGCTCAGCTACCCCTGCAAATGTCTCAAGATCTTGACTCTTTGTTTTCTTAGCCCATCTTGTTCTCCCAGGCCCCAAAGCTTGCCGTCTCAAGTCCCTGCCTCTCTTCTCATTCTGGCCAGTCTAGGCGGGGTCTGACTTCAGTGTGTACAGATTCTCACTCCCAATCTCATATTGGTCAAACAAACCCAGAAGTAAGAAGGTCTACAAGTATTAATCAACCATTCTTAGACCAGGATTAGAATAATTTTAAAAAGTGAATCCTGTCTTATAGCTCTATGTTCTTTCATGTGGGAGAAATAAATTCTATCTCAGTATTATTATTCCCATTTTATAGACCAGGAAACTGATGCCCAGAAAGGGTAAGTTAGTATCTCGTCCCAGTTCATACACTAAGTAACCCAGGTAGCTTATCACCAAAGCTAGCTGAGTTCTTCTTTGCTGTGAAAGAATAATTTCTGGAAACTTGGAAAAGGTAAAATGAGGATTTTTCGGTTCCTTGTTTTTGTTTTT